CATATATTGCCCCCCACGCTTCAGTATTGCAGAAAATGAGTTTATGAATTTCTACAACTCACTAGGACGCTGCTTTATAGCTGCCGGTGATTATAACGCAAAGCATCCCCACTGGGGATCTCGTCTTATCAACCCCAAAGGCCGCCAATTATACAACGCTATTATCACTCCTGGTAATGCGCTTGACTTTGTCTCACCAGCTAGGCCTACATACTGGCCCACAGATCCAAATAAACAACCTGACATTATCGATTTCGCTGTTATTAGAAGAGTCTCGCACAGGCTGATAAACATAAAAACCTTAGAAGAGCTTACATCGGACCATTCGCCAGTTCTCCTCTGTCTATCTGAACAGCCGCAGCTTCTGGAACGCCCCCAACATCTAACATCAAACAAAACAAACTGGCTGAAGTACAAAAAATATGTAAGTGCACACATCGAACTTGATCCTGAAATTTCCTCTGAATCTGACATTGACAAGTCGCTTAAACACCTCACGGACGTAATGTCCTCTGCCGCCAAACATTCTACGCCAGAACCCTCATCCACAAACCCGCTAAGAACTGGACGCTCAAGTATCCAGATCGAGTCTCTCCTACTTGAAAAACGTAGACTTCGCAGAGACTGGCAGACTCATCGGTCCCCAGCTACTAAGAAAAGACTTAATGAAGCATCTCGAAAATTGTCGAAGGCCCTCTCTACCGAAAAGAACCAGGCCCAACGGGCCTACATTGCGAAACTATCCCCGACGGGTAATAAATTCCCACTATGGAGAGCGCACCCAAACATGCAGCCACCAATAGATCCGGATTCGATCACAAACAGGTGCCTGGGCGCGCAGTGACGAAGAAAGAGCTAACACCTTTGCCCATCACTTGGAAAACGTCTTCAAGCCTCACCCGCCATCCAACCAATTCACTCTACTGAATGTCTCGCCAGCGTCGCCGTCCTCCCCAGTTACCCTTGAAATTAGAACAATACATAAACACATTAAAGAACACATAAACCCAAAAAAAGCTCCTGGTCACGATTTTTTTCTCCAAAAAAGATAATTGAATTACCTGCATGCGCACTCAGATGCATCGCATTTATATTTAACTCAATGTTGAAATGGGACTGCTTTCCTGACCAATGGAAAAAGTCTGTCATTACAATGATCCCGAAGCCAGGAAAAGGCAAATCCCAGCCTTCCTCGTACCGGCCCATCAGTCTGCTCCCATGTCTATCAAAGCTATTTGAAAAGCTGCTTCTTGTTCATCTAGTAACACATCTTCAAATCAACAGAACGATCCCTCTGCACCAATTCGGATTTAGGGAAAAGCATGGAACTATCGAACAGGTAAACCGCTTAACATCTGAAATTCGCACGGCTTTCGAACACAAGCAATATTGCAGTGCCTTATTTCTGGAGGTATCACAGGCATTTGATCGCGTCTGGATCGACGGTCTGGTATACAAAATCAAAACCCTCCTACCGGAAAACACTCACAAGTTGCTTGAGTCATACCTCAGAAACAGAGTTTTCAACGTGAGATGTAAAACCTTTACTTCAACCATCCGTAACATCGAAGCTGGAGTACCCCAAGGAAGTGTGCGTGGACCAATCTTGTACATCCTTTACACGGCAGACATTCCAACAAGCCGCCAGACCCTCATCTCAACCTTTGCTGACGACACTGCCATTAAACACTAAACTTGTCGAAATGCCCACCACTGACGCTAAACAACAAGCCGGTTCCACAAGCAGACGAAGTCACCTATCTCGGCATACACCTAGACAGGAGGCTTACCTGGAGAAAGCATATAGAAGCAAAGAAGACCCATTTAAAACTAAAGGCCAGCAGTCTTCACTGGCTCATGAATTACCGCTCCCCCCTTCCACTCGAATATAAAGTACTACTGTATAACTCGTGCTTAAAGCCGATCTGGACCTACGGTTCCGAGCTCTGGGGAAACGCAAGCAGCAGCAATATAGAAATTATTCAAAGAGTACAATCAAAGACCCTACGAACAATAACTGGAGCCCCCTGGTACATCCGCAATGCAAACATCCAGAGAGACCTGGATAAAAATCCCGTAAAAGAAGAAATTGTTTCCAGAAAAATTAAATATGAAGCCAGATTATCAAATCACGCAAACCTGCTTGCCAGACAACTCAACCGGCTAAGCTATCATTCCCGTCTACAGCGGAATGATTTCCCATCCCTTTTTCAATAACATAAGTTAACGTAACATAGATTAAGATTTGAAAACTTATTGTTAGTCTCTTAAGTAATAGAGAAGATCCAATAAATAAGAATAAAGTATAAAAAAAAAAAAAAAAAAAAACACGCAAAGCGCAGAAAAAAAACACGACCGTTCACTTTGAAAGTCAACGACGAATTGAATCCAGACTTTACAAAAAGAATGATTTTTATTTTTCTTTATGATATAAAAACCATTTTTGGCGAAAAACTCATTTTCTCTTCTAGGCATTTTTATAGGGGTCAAAAATGAGCTTTAGATTAAGTTTAAAGCTTGGCTTCGCGGATTAAAGGGAGTTAATTCGCGAAACAACACGAAAATTCAATAATTTGGTTGACTAGAGCGTTTGAGCATTTTTTCCTAATATATCAGGGTAGGGACATTGGCTCTGGTTGATTTATTTCATTAAGCGCAAAGAGAGTTTTTCTGCTAGGGCTTGATGTCCCAAGTACAGTGGCTCACAGCTTATTTGACCCACACCTAATTTTCAACAGTAAACAGGTATCACTCCTGAACCATAAGAGATACCCATAAAAATAAAACGCAGAAAGGTTAACTTTTGTTTTAACTTGAAAAATATGTTTTAATTTATTTATTCTACTAAGGAACTTATTAATTAAACAATAAAAACTAAAAATACTGCCTTTTTCAACGTCACAGCTTATTTGACCCAGTTCATCAAATTAATTATAAAAAATTGCAAATAAAATATTTGTTTAACTTTTACTATTTGGTATGTCCGCCCTTTTGGTCCACAACCGACTTCAGTCGATTGGGAATAGATTCGACAAATTTTTTTGTGGTTCCTGGGGTGATTTTAGCCCATTCTTCGAGCAAAGCCGTCTTCAATTTTTATTGGAAATATTGCGCTCCCGAGTTTTTGAGTCCAGCAAAGCCCACAAATTCTCAATAACATTAAAATCGGGTGACTGAGCTGGAGATTTCATTATATTGGGACAATTATATCCCAGCCAATATTGAACAATACCCTACTTATGATTTGGGTCATTGTCTTGGTAGAGCCGAAAAGGTTTCCGACTCCTGCTGCGGACTTACAGGCCTAAACCATAACGTGTCCGCCGTCATGCTTAACGGTGGGTTTTAGATGTTTGTCCTGCAGCTCTGTATTGTCTTTACGCCATAGCTAAGAACGTCCTCGGACCAAAAATATTAAATTTTGACTCATCGGCGAAAATGACGTAATATTTTTGGGTCCAAATGATGGCGTATAGCCAATATCAAGTTCCTTGGTAGAATAAATAAATGTTAAAACAACAGTTAACCTTTCTGCGTTTTATTTTTATGGGTATCTCTTATGGTTCAGGAGTTATACCTGTTTAATGTTGAAAATTAGGTGTGGGTCAAATAAGCTGTGAGCCACTGTAATTCGCCGCCTCTATTAGGGCAGTTGACTTTGGCTTATTCGCAACCATTTTTTGCGGGCTTAGCTTGCGCTTTATTTGTATGAAGTGGTGGAGAAGTCTGTGGCACAAAGGGTATTGTATTGTTTTGGGTGTTACTAGTCACAAGACACAATGACGTATGTGTTGGAGTGAGTAGGGCAGGAAAAAAAGCCAATAATATTTGTCTACTTATAAGTGTTTTTCCGGAGCCCTCTCAAATAGATACCATATTATCACGACTGATAACAACAACTTACCAATGATATCTGTTAATAAAAAATAGCTCCAAAAAGTTATTAAATACGAATGAGGTAAAAAGACAAGCCTTACATTTTTTTAATTGTAGATGAACACCAAGTTCGCTTCACACAAGTTATAAAAGAAACTATTTCAATCATTTCATGAAAATGATTTCGATAAAATGATATACCTTAATCGAAGACTTACTTTATTACTCAAAAACAACCTTCTACGACTACATTCTCGTGTTAATTCTTAACATCCTTAACGAATGTCACTTGCATGAATCAACTAGCAAGTTAACATGTGTAAAGACCAGGTATTTAAAAAGATATCGCACAATTGACAAAGAGTTTCAGCATTTGAAAGATTAGTAATCAAGCCGCAATACAAATAATTAAAATGCTGGGTTTGAGCTTGATTAGCCCGGTAACACAAAGTCCTTGCGGGTCATATATTTGAAAAAATTTTACCAATATTATTACCTTTTCTCCCCTTACAGTGTTATTTGACATAGAGGGCTATCCCAAAACGTAAGTCAGCGATAACAGAGCTCACAAAAGACACCTATAAGCATATTTAAACTCAGAATGAAATTAACCAACCAATTAAAAAGAGATCTGATTTCGATGACATCAGTAGTAACTCGAAAGTTGTCAACACTACATTTTATGGACGCCCGACTATACCAATCCGACAACAACAATGTAAAGCAGAGCATTCAACTTATCAACCCGCAATCCTTTTAATCCTTCCCTAGTTTCAACGAAGCACTAGCATCGTGGTTACTTAAGCTCCACCAGCATCCCAGCAAGTTGCCCTTCAAGCGCCACAGCCAAGTCGATCGGACGTGCCATACCAATACTCGATCACGCCAAGAAGTCATCCGATACCAGCCCTTAAATTCCAGACAGCGTAAAACTACTAACAATATATAATTTAAGGGAGAAATGTCTTTCTTTTGCAAACAGACTACCTTTTATTATAGTGGTTTAAATATTAATGTAAACTTTTTTTAAGACACTTTTCGTTAAATAGGTAAACACTTATCAGTTTTAGGTGTGCAAGTATCAGCAAAATCAAATTGTAAGGCATTAACCAAGCAGGACTTACCTACAACTGAAAAAATCATGGTATACCCAACTGGCGGTGTTGTTGATACTTGGCATTCATAGATTCCCGAATCTCTTAGTTGAGGAAATTTTATCTTGAAATATAAAATGTTGTCAGTATTAAAATTTTTTTGAAAAGCACTTTAGATTTTTAATTCATTTTTAACTTTTTAGCAGATAACCTGGCCAATTAGATAGATAAATCAAATCTTAATTTATATTAATGTACTTTGCAAGAAAATAAAGATATAAAGAAGAACTTTTTTTTGGAGCCGTTTAACATCCTTTTAAAAAAGTCATCCTAAATCGATTTCTGATAAGTTTTGACATATCACTAAGTTTAGGGCTATAATTGTATTAATGAATATATCTATAGTAACATATCTACACCCACATATTTACCACATAAGCATACATACCACATAAGCACAAAATCAGTAAATACAAGTATAATGGAAATTCCGTTCCCTTAGCGATAATAATAAGCTCATAGCTCACTTAGAGTGATCCCTAAATAATCGACTCCCAAGAGTGGCCAGTTAATGTGAACAGCCTCTTTTATTATAAACAGATGTCCCCAATACAGGAAATCTGTAGACGCTGCTCAAGCCGACATTGCTCTCATTCTAATTACTCTCGTTTTCATTGTTCTCAATTTACCATTTGCTCTCATTCTCTAAATCGAGGGTTTGCTAATCGTCGACAATGGAATCTAAGTTTCAGCTTAAACACTAATTTGATCAAATTAAATTATATATTTTTTTTCAAAGTGAATTACCCGATTTGTTATTTTTTAGGCGAAGACAACAAAAATTCCACCCTTAAGTTATGTAATAATAACGCTTTTTAATTCAATCAGTTTATGCACGTGTCGTTTTTATTCTGCCTGTCGAATCTGCACTGAAGCAGCCGAAGGCCTGGCTTCATATTTAAATCGGGTCTTACAATGTAGTTGCTGAATAGGTAGCGCGACAGCTTAGCGAGATAAGGAAAATAATAAAGAGGAGAGCACAAGAGCGCTGCAGGTGCAGCCATACACCTATGCGCACTAGACTAGGTGCTCTGAACATACTCTCCCCGTTGGAGGAAGTACGGCTCCAAATAAATGGGAATCGATGGGCAGAACCGCTAACTTGGCGACGGCTCTCTTGACTAGACCCGTAGCTGTACGGACCATAGCTACTCTGACGACGCCGTCCTCACCTGGAACGACACCTTGGATGCACACCAGTTGCCATTTCAAGGGTGGAAGGTTGTCCTCCTTCAGCAACACGATGCTTCCGACTTTGATGTTGGATATTTCGACGCGCTTCCTCTTTTTCTGGAGCAAGGATAGATACTCGCTGCTCCACCGCTTCCAGAATTGCTGCTGCATCTGAGACACCCTTTGCCATCTGCTGAGGAGATGCGTGATGTCAGGCTCAGGAAACCTTGTGTAGCTGGAGCCTTTCAGGAAAGACAATCGTCTTTGACTTTCAAAGTGAACGGTCGTGTTTTTTTTCTGCGCTTCGAATTTTGTGTTTTGTTTTCGTTTATTCCCATCGGTGGGTTTTATAAAAACAACATTAAATTTTCTTTCGGTTATTTAAACATAAATTTAAACTCCGTTCGCTTCGCGAGTGCACTTTGTATTGATACTAATAAATTGTTTTAGTTTTTCCTAATTCTTATCTGTGTTTTCTATCCTATTTATATCCACGCTGTTTCTCTTTTGTGCATGCACTTCAACTTATTAACGCTCCCGCTCTCTTGCTCTCTTTGCTTTTGAAAGTTCTAAGCGTGCAGTTTCTGCGCTCTTGCGGTACTTATAACTGCTCGCTTATAAATTTCAATTTCGCTTTCTTGGTACAGTGGTAAATAAATAAAATGAATAATAAAAATTTAGTCTGCTTCTGCAAAAAATGCAGCCTCGTAATCAGGGCTGACCAGTCTAATATGACTTGCTGGCTGTGTGAAAATATGGTGCACACCAAGTGCGCCGGTTTTACTGGCCGGACAAGTGATGACCTTTCAAAGGGGCCCAATTTGCAGTTTTGTTGTGACGCTTGTGTCGAGGTTGCGAACGAGATGAAATCGTTCATGTGCCAAACTAAAGGCGGCCTGATGGGACTGATTAGCTGTTTCGGAGTGGCTAGAGATAGTTTTCGCCGAGCTGATGATCTCCTATCTGCGCTGGACTCGCAGTTTAATAGTCGTAAGCTATTAGAAGAGTCCCCTAAGCGCAAAAAGGACGCTGGTGGTAAGGAGCAAAAGGGGAACACCCCGCAACCGAAATCAAAAGAACAACAGAGCATTCCGGCGGATCAGCAGCTTATTTCAGCAAACCCTCAAATGTTGCTAAGATCAGCAGCTAAAAAAGATTCGGTATCCGAACAATCCGTTACAGAATGCATGCAACCAGGGACGTCTAAGAATTCCGATTTGTCCGTAGTGGTTTTACAATTAGTGGATTCACCTATCTCTCAGAATGTAGTATCACCACCACAAGGGACTACTGAGTCCGGACAACCGGCTCAAGTTGGTTTTGCAGAAACAATGTCTGCTCCACCAAAATCCCTTTCAGTGGTTCCACTAAAGAAACAAATTTTCGTTTCTCGGCTTTCCCCTGATCAAACATCTTCTGATGTATTGTCTTATATACAAGACAAAACTAAAGCCGATTGTAATAGTGTAAAGGTGGAAAAGTTTAAGTTTTCTTATGCTAGAGATATTTCATTTTTCAAGATAACTGTCCCTAACGAGCTTTTTGAAGCCATATGCTCGGGCGACTTTTGGCCGGATAATATGGTTGTAAAAGAGTTCGAGGCTAAGATAAAGAAGAAGGGGCCCGTAGGAGTAAAACTTCCTAGTCGAGGCCAAACCAGTGTACCAATTTCAAAAAACTAACTTCTAACCTCCTTCTTTCCTATCAGAATGCAAGAGGTTTGCATAGCAAACTCACTAAATTGTATTCTGATAGCCTTACCTTTGCATCTCATATTATTGTGTTCACAGAAACCTGGTTAAAGCCGGAGATCTTTAGCTTCCAGGTAAGTACACAATATATAGGTATGACCGTCCCTCTAGACGGGGAGGTGGAGTCTTAATTGGAGTTGATTCAAACTTCCCGTCTGAGGAGTTATTTTTGATGAATTCAATACCATTGAATTTATTTGTGTAAAGTTATCGCTTCCTGGTAACTTTATATACATAACTTGCTCTTATAGTCCGCCGTTGTCTGAACTTCCTGATTATTTAAATCACCTATCCGTTATTAAGTCCGTTGCAAATAAGCTTTCCGATAGGGATCAGTTGATAGTTCTAGGTGATTTTAATATACCTGAAGTTACTTGGTCCACTGAGGATGGATCGAATGTCTTACTACCTATAGCACAACATGATTTTATTGATGGCCTGCTTGACATATCTCTATCTCAAGTAAACCATGTTCGAAATTCATTAGGTCGCCTACTTGATTTGTGTTTTGTATCGAATCCTGAAGGTGTGTTTCTGTCCAGAGTAGCACCACTCACGCAACCTGAAGATCCATATCACCCAACAATCGAACTTTCATTTGATACGGGTAGAGTTATAGAAGAAAAATCAGAAAAATCCAAACGAATACTTTGTTTTCGCAAGGCAGACTTTCTGAGGCTTAATAATTTTATTTCTGGCTTTAATTGGTCTGATCTTTACTTATGCAATAATATGTCCGATGCAGTTAATGTTTTTTATACTGCAATAAACTCATTTTTTAATTCCTGTGTTCCGTGGTACTATCCGTCAACTTCCAATAAATCACCTTGGTTTAGCAAAGAGTTGACACACTTAAGAAATGTAAAGTCCAGACTTTTTAGGAAATATAAAAATACCGGTTCTCAATCTGTTTTTACTAGATATCTAAGTGCTCGGTCAAGATTTACCGTGCTAAATCTCAGTGTTATAATAGTTACTTAAACCGTTGTAAGGTCCAGTTCTCTCAGGACCCGAAACAGTTTTATAATTTTGTTAACACCAAGCGTAAATCTAATTCTTTTCCTTCCTCGCTGTCGTTCGAAAACATGACGGGAACCACAGATCAGGCAATAGCCGATATATTTGCCCAATTTTTTCAAACGACTTACTCTACTTTAGATTATTCATCTCAGCCTTATTCTTACACCATGCCCAAGTCAAACCTCATATTCTGTCCCACTTTAACAGAAAGCTCTCTTCTTTTGGATCTTCTTCGTATTAAGCCTGTTTATTCGCCAGGGCCCGATGGTATTCCTGGGTGCGTGCTTAGGTATTGCGCTAAGGCCCTGTGCAAACCTCTTCACAAGTTGTTTACCTTATCTCTAGAAACGTCCCAATTCCCAAATATTTGGAAGGAATCATTTGTTATTCCTCTTTTCAAAAAAGGTAACAAGTTAGAAGCCAGTAACTACAGAGGTATTTCTAAGTTGTCAGCTATTCCTAAGCTTTTTGAAAAAATTATTACTCCTCATTTGCAGCACTTTTGCAGATCAATTATTTCTCCGTGTCAACACGGATTTATTAAACGTAGATCCACAATTACAAACCTTCTAGAGCTCACTACATTTGTGATAAAAGGCTTCAATAGTAGTTTTCAAACAGATGTCATTTACACTGACTTTAGTAAAGCATTTGACTCTGTAAATCACTTACTTCTTATTCATAAACTTGACCTTTTAGGTTTTCCAGTTGATCTGCTTAAATGGATTTCAAGTTATCTAAATGGCAGGTCACAAAGGGTCCTTTTTAAAAATTCAATTTCTGAAATTCTCCGTGTTACCTCCGGTGTCCCACAAGGGAGCCATCTGGGTCCGTTACTTTTTACATTATTTATTAACGATCTTCCCTCAATTATAAGTCATTCTCGCGTACTTATGTACGCAGATGATGTTAAGTTGTGCCTGCAGTATAAGGACATTTCCTGCCATTTAGACTTGCAATCCGATCTAGATAATTTTCAAAACTGGTGCCGAGATAATTTACTAAATTTAAACGGCTCCAAGTGCAAGCTGATGACTTTTTATCGGGCCAATCCGATATTCTCGACTTACACGTTAAGTGGCAGCTCTTTGGATAGAATAACTCTTGTAAACGATCTTGG